GAACACAAGAAGGCATATCTAATTGAAAGAAGAAGAAGAAGAAAAAATTATTTCTATCTCTTGAGAATATCTTGCCGAAAAATCAATTGAATAATAATAATAATTAAATAAAAGCAAATAGATGTTATTCGACATGATGTCAAATGAAAGAAAATAAATAAGATGTAGAAGACTTCCGAGTCATGATTAGAGAATATCTTGTCTATTTTACAACTAAATCATAGAAGTTCAAGTGTTGAAAATTAACTAATGTTGATATTATCCAGGTAATCGATAGGAAAATAGAGTTTTTCATAGATCTGACAAATAAGATTGTGAAAGCATTTATTATTAAGTGAATAATACATACTGAGCACTTGATTCTATTGATCAAAGTTAAATATGATAATTTGTTTACTATATATGTTTGAGATTTAATCAATAGAAGAAACTCCTTTAATATAATAAAAACTGTCATTTAATTGGAAAGATGACTAAGTTATTGAATGGAGTAAACAACTTCTATGCATAATTAAACCGATACATTTTTTTGTCCGGAAATGATTCATAGAAATAACCTGATTTTTTTCGGAATTTTATCGAAATTAATATTTAATCTTAAGATATTATATGCGGAAAATCATACGTTTAAAGTATTAGTGATTTAAATAAAAAGCAATTAATGTCAATTGAATATTCTATTACAAGAAATCGATTTTTTTTTCTTCAAGTAGAATTTGTTATGAAATAATCATTGACAAGCAAAATTATCAGAATCTGTGAAATAATATTATCTTGTTTTCTTATAGAAAAAGAAAAAGAATTGAAATCGACTGTTACAAAAAAATGGATACTTGCAGTCATTATAAAAAAAATAGATACATACAACAAATCTCACATAGATAAAGGAAAAAACAGACTATTCTTTTACATAATCAGACATTTTCGAGCTGAACCTCGATTTGATGATGTATCAGGTGAAGTTCGTGAACTTTTTTTTGTATTCAATGACGATGTTGTTGATGGTCGATTTGTTTTATTTCCATGTAGAACAGGTGTTGTTGGTCGTGTAATAACTGCACCAGCTGTTGTTGTTTCTGTAATATTTTGATTACTACCACTATTTGTTGTTGCTGATGAACTTGAATTTGTTGTTGTTATTCGTTTATTACCATGTAATGCTGGTGATGATGGTGTTGGTGTACCACCATTTTCTTCAAGTAAATGTCCATCTTGATCAACATTAAAATTAAATTGTCGTTTTTTATCTAATTTAAGAAGTTCTTGAAATGCTTCACGTATATTTGAATTTGTTTTAGCTGATGTTTCAATCCATGCACAAGACCAATAGGATGCAAGTTGTTTACCAAGATTTTCAGTTACTTCACGACATGCAGCTTCATCTGATTTACAACCCATTAATAGTATAGGTGTATCACATTGTTGATCAGCTTTTATTTCACGTATTTGATCATATATAGGTTTTAATTCTTCAAGTGTTGGTTTACTTGTTATAGAATAAAGTAACATAAATGCATGACCTTTTTGTATACTCAATCTTTGCATCGCTGGAAATTGATGTGTTCCAGTACTAAATATAAAATAATTAGTTTTCTTTTTGAATAATTATTACAAAACATTATTTACGTATCAGTTATTTGTAAAGTAGTTATTTGTTTATTGCA